GCAAAAGGTAGTAGAAACCCTAAATGCTACTTTTAAAGAGTCAGTTGGAATGCAGAAAAGTGGCAGTGGAGCTGCACTGGGCACCCTTCTTCCTGATTTGGAATCTGAAGAGAGGGTAGAGTTCCAATCTACTGATACTCCAGTTGGCTATTTTCCTGAAATAGAGGAAAGAAACCGATACCAGTGTACCTTCTTCTACAATTGGCACTGACACTCAATCTACATTGAGACAAGTAACTTGGCTTCGTAAACCTGTTCCAAGGCCAGACGGCACTCGTACGGATGTGTATTATTTTGAGAGGGGGGTCTAATCAAAGACTACGATCACCAAATGATGTAGAAAGGTATTGCACTGAACATAATATTCAGTATGATCCTACCTTGTTTGATTTCAAGGGAAGCAATACTTATAGTGGTGAAATCGACCCAACTGGCACTCCTTCAACGTCATATACCCGAGATAGCTGACTAGAGGTTTCAATTCCAAACACTTATAACCAGGCAATGAAATCCACAGAAAAGCTTAAATGGATAGAGGCAATGGAAGAGGAAATGGCCAACATGCGAAAGCATAAGGTATGGCATCTTGTTCCACTTCCTAAAGACAAGACTCCACTAGGTTGCAGGTGGATTTTCAACATTAAACGTGACGAATTTGGAAACATTGTTCGTTTTAAAGCTCGTTTAGGGCTCTCAGGGTTATCAATAAATTACGATCGGATCGATAATCCGTAATAGAACCTACTCTCTTCTGTAGTTAACTTTTCAGTAATAAGGCTCTTTTTCTCCCTTTTAGTTGCACACTTGGATGGGCAAATATACAATGCGACGTAAAAAGTGCCTATCTCTACGCTCCTTTATCAGAGGAAATTTACATGTCCCAACCTCAGGGTTTTGTAGAGCGAGATAAAGAAACTTTTGTGTGTCGTTTAGATAGAGCCTTGTATGGTTTGCATCAGAGTGGGCGATTATGGTACTACGAGTTGGATAGAACACTAACCTAACCTCATCAAGTTTGAGTGGTGTAATTGTGTCTATCGTTTTAAAGATTTTGTCATTCTGTTGGTTTATGTTGATGATATGTTGTGTTTGGAAAAAGTGAAGTTCAGGCCAAAAGATATTAAAAGTCCTGAGTTCACATTTTGATTTGAAAATTTTAGGTAAAACAAGAAAGCTTTTGGGTGTGGAATTTGAATATGAGAACAATAGTGTTTTATAATTCATCAGCATTATATATAGAAGACATAGTTGATCGATTTAAGTCTTTTAAAATACAAATTACTTCCCTTCCAATAGTTAAAAAAGGTGTGAAATACTCAAAGTCTCAAAGTCCCAGTACACAAGAAGAAACGACTGAAATGATGAATAATCCTTATAGAAATGTTTTTGGGATGTCTCTCGTGTCATTGTAATCGTACTCGTCCGGATATAGCTTATGCTGTTAATATATTTTCTCAGTTCCAAAGCAATCCTGGTAAGTTTCACTGGGAAGGATTACTTAAACTTTTAGGGTACGTTTCCAATACCAGACAGCACAAACTTAAACTGGTATGCAAGGAACTGAAGCTCAATATATATTCAGATTCGGATTTTGCTTCAAGCAGGGATGATATGGTGTCTATTGGTGGACAAATAGCTTTGTTGGGAGAATCACCTGTATCTTGGCGTACATTTAAAGAAAGGGGAGTGAGTTTGTCTACTATGGAGGCTGAATTTATCTCCATGACTGAATTAGTTTTTTTTAGAAACATCTTGGATGAATGCATTTAGTTTAAAATTGCAAGTAACTATGTTTCGAGGCCAATATTGTTTGCTGATAACATGGCTGCTATATGTTTTACAAAATCACCCATTGAAAACTCAAGGACAAAACATATAGATGTGAAACTATTTTTCATTCGTGATCTATTGAACAGGGAAATTTTTGATTTAAAATATGTTCCAAGTAAAGATAATCTGGCTGATCCCATGACAAAACCGCTGACTAAGCATAATCTGATAAGATTTTGTGGAACAATTTTCTTATGAAATTTGTTTTTGTGTGTATTTAAATTAAGAGTTTTGTTTATTTGAAAATAATATGTTATAAGTCATATTATGATGGATATTAGGTAAATGTAAAACTGTATAGTGTAAAATGTTGTGTGAGTGACCAGCGCCCTGGGTAAAAGTATTGACTGTGTGATCATATATATGTCTTTATATTTTTTTGTAACATGTTGGACTTTCTTGCTATGGTAAAATTTTTGAATAATGGGATAAGATGTTTCCAAAGGAAAATTTTTTCTTAAAAATTTCTGAATTGAATGAAACTGTGATGTATATTTATTCTTGTTTTGAATTTTGTAAAGATACTGGCATTCAGTTTTTATTTCAGGTCGGAGATGATGATGTGGGGGGGGGGAATTTGTTGGAAAAATATAACTTATTGTAAACCTTTTACTGCATTATCTCTTCTCCTTGAAATGTTTTATTATAATGTAATATATTAGTTACTTCTACTTCTTTTTCTTACTGCCACTGTTTGTGTTGAGAACGGACTGTTTCAACCTAATTGAGATGCAAAAACTAAACGTGATGTTACGTCATCTGGAAAGCCGATTCGTGCCGATAGCTGATTGGTTGCCGTGAGATGACGTCATGCCTACTTCTGCTATAAGTATCTCGCGTCGCTCTGGCTCAACCCTTCTAGTTCCTGCTTTCCTGGCACTTGGGTGTGCGGTTTCCAGCCCCTTCAGAAGGATGCATGCCAGTCCGGTGAATAAAGTTCCTTGGTTCCTGTTCACAAGATGATTGTTCCTGAATAAAGTTCTTTGGTTCATATCCACAAGATGATTGTTCCAGAATAAATTCCTTGGTTCCAGAGGCTACCATGTGAGTGACTGCCGTGGGCGGCATCTATGTTCTTCAATTAAGGCGGCATTTAAAATACGTGAGCGGCGATTCCTCGTGTTCAACTAATGCAAAAGGAGTTAGTCCGGTTTTGAGTGCTTTCAAGAACTTGATTTAAATTTCACGTGAGGCCGCATAATTACTGTTTAGGACATTTTTGTTTGTATTGAATGCCAGTGTTTTTGGAGACCAGGTAAAAATATTATTTGATGAATGGTGGTTATATTATATTTTTCCTAAGACTCTGATATTGTTTAAATTTATTTTCTGTGTTTTTATTCTTTATTATATTGTTAATAAATTGGTTAAATTTGAAACCTTTTTATTGTCTTCAATGTCTGCACAACATATTATCTCAGGGAGCTTTTATTGCTACTGTTGCTAAAATGTTTAATTTTATAAACTTTAAACTTTGCTTTAGCATCACCAGCGCCTAGCTCCGGTGACTTCTTAGTTTCTGAGATTTATTCTAATTCTAGCCGGAGCGCATCGGAGTCCTAAATAAGAAAGCTTCGGCACTTCTTTTATGTAACTGAACAATTATTTCAGCAAAAATTTGATCTCCAAAATCTTATTTTAGCTATAAAATTATATTAAAAATCGCTTATTCAATTTTAATCATCTAATGAGTTGAATTTTAAATTATTTTTAATACATAATAATAAATTAATTATGAATTAATTAAAAATTAATCGATATTTATTATTAATATCAATTAAATAATTATTAATTTGATACTCATCAACTATATAATTAAAAAATTACTAATGATTTTTAAAAGTAATTTTATTTATTTATTTAACTCTTGTTCCCCTTTCCTGACAGTCTTCTATTCTGCATTCAATGTATGCATTCAATAACTGCACTTTGTATGGCTTCACTGAACTGCAACAATGGACTCTAGTTTTGCCAATTGTAGAACACAAAAAGACTTCTGCTGTGGTGCCGCCGCCATTTCACTACACACTACCAACCGACAAATAATACCAGAACAAACAACAGCGCCAATGTGGCCATGATTGGAACTTTTACCCATACTAAATTGTACACTTTTCTCTATCCATTAACATTAGAATCATGTTTCTACCTTTTTCTACCTTTGTAGTTTCTACCTTTTGTAGTTTGGAAGAAATACATGTTTGCAATCTGCTCTTGCTTTTTGAATAACCCTGTATTTAATTGTGAATAAATTTCTTCATTTTATTGTCCTATTAATACGTCATATTTAATAGGGAGAAATAAAAGTACTAAAGTAAAATTCATTATTAAATTTTGTAAAATTTAATAATGAATTTGCCATATGATCTTTGGATTTCAGGACACATATAAACAAAATAAAATAATATTTTAGATAAATTTGGAACCAATTCTCCTGATGTACAGGAATTTTAGAAATAAGGTCTTCAAATACCGGCAGGGCATTTTGTGGCCGAACAGAAACAGAAAAATGGCCGTGAACATATAATGAGAAACACATAATTTGCGAATTATAATGCATTGAACATCAGTGACAAAATGTACGAAATACTGAAGATCAAGTGGGCAGCGTCTTCAGTATTCTGAAGCGATTCGTAGATAAAGAATATGTATGTTTAAGTCATGACAGAATACATCACAGGATGCTCGACGACAAGAAGACAGCCTTCACATCCTTTTTTTTTTATCGATCTCCAGTGATTTGTAAACTGTTTGTTTCCCATTGTATATTCCAGGGCATACTTTGCTTGTTTTCGCCTTAGAATAGAATCCCGATTCAAAATGGCTGTGATTGAAAAAAAAATTGTCATATAGCACCAATTGTTAACACTTTCAGATATGAATACTCTTCTGGACTCATCAAAATGTCTCAAGATAGGCCATCGGTGTTTGCCAACACATGCTGCTGCAATCAACAGTATGTAAAAACGAAAAATCATAAATTATCTTAGAAAGGGTTAGTATGTGCTTAGCCAGCAATTAGCATATTGGTTCGTCAAGTATACGGGTAAACATTGACTATACTCGTGAAACAAAAAGAAAATGCTGGACCACATCAACTCACAACTGGACCCGATGATAGAAAATAAACTTTTGAGAAAATAATTTTATTCTGCATTAGTATACGTATTCATAATGCCCATTTTACAGTCCCCTTCTAATATTTGTAATTTCATTACATTTATTTTGAAAAATGAGATAAGATAAAAGTTTATGTCTGATTTTGAAAGTTCCATACTCGATATTTTTAAGTGGCTCTTCAAGCAAAAGTATTAGTCAATCCTTTCTCTTTTGTTAATTGAAGTATTAACTTATATAACATCAAAATAATAATAGTAATAATTAATAAATTAAAAAATGTGGTTAATCATTATACTGACATGAAATGAGTCAACAATTCCAAAATCCTCTTCGTTTTTCTCCACTTGACTCTGCAATTGAGCTCGGAGGAGTTTGACTTCTTCGTTCAATTCTCGAAAACGAGATTTTTCAGCGTCCAAATCCTTTCTTAGCTGGTTGCATTCCTCAGCAATAGGAATCATGCTCTTCTCAGCATTCTAAGGGGCACATAAGAATACGTGAAAGGGTTGAGCACTATTCGTTATAATAAATTACTTTCTAACTCTAGTATAAAAGGAGTAACTAAAGTACAAATTTGATACCGTGATAATTAAAAAGATTTAAGGTGCACAAAATATCGAAATTCGAAGATGTATACACGATTTAAATATTAACTGCAAGTCTTTTTGGATAAGTAATTTTAAAAAAAAGCCTATATCTTGTAAAGCAAAATATACTTTGTGGATCAATAAAATAAAAATGATGTTTTACCAGTATGAATAGCGTTAGAACTAGAGAAAGTATTTTAAAAAGACAAAATCATCATAGCTGCGAAATATTTATAGAGTTTGCTGTTAACCAATTTTTAATTCTATTATGTCATCTCCAGTGCTTGATGCCAACTTTCTAAATTATATTACCTTACATTATTTAAATATGGAAAAGTACACGTGGGCTTTCGGCCTAAAGGGATTTATGCTTTCGTGGAAGACTTTCCAAGCAGGATTAACTCCTATTCATGTTACACATGGGAAAACAGCCATACAGCGTATAAGGTATTTCTCCCCGCCTTCCTAGCATGCATTTGTGGTGTGGTAGTCTGCACGCTGCGCGCGTATTCCAGAGGTCAGTGGTTCAATTCCCGGCGAACGCGTTGCCAGTTTTTCATCTTTCTTGCTTCTAAAATACCTAATGTCTCTACAGTGGCGCCCGAACTAAAAGGGTGGTGGATACGATTCTCCACACCCAGGATTTGTCGATTGGGTTCCCTAAAACACCAATCGCTCTTTAAAAGGGGGATCATATAAGGTATTTCTCCCGCCTTCTTATCATGCCTGCGTGGTGTGGTGGTCTGCACGCTGGGCGTGTATTCCAGAGGTCCGTGGTTCGATTCCCGGCGAAGGCGTTTTCTCATTTTTCATCTTTCCTTTTTCCAAATAACCTAATGTCTCTACAAGATAACCCCGCAGTTGTGTGGGAAAAACAGAGTAAATACGCAATATATCTGAAAAGTTTTAGAACTTACTTTTATAATAAATTCTAGCAAACTTGCGAAATATTAATTGATAACATTTATTACTGTGTTTCTTAACAATTAATCATTTTCTCAGTTTTTCTCAGTTTGCTTTTCCCTAAAATATCGTCTGCTTACTGACAGAATTTCCTTAACAATTAATCATTTGTTTTGATACCGTGAACATTTGCTGTCATGGATTCGGAAGCCGAGCTAAGAATAGCAATACCGTTTTGCTGTAAAGAGGTAAAGCAGCAGCGGAGGGATCTAAAATGCTTTATAAAGCATACGAAAATGAAGAATTAATAAGATCCAATATTTCTGATTGGTAAGGACGAATTCCTTGCAAAAAAGGAAGACGTTGATGATGAAGCCAGATTCGTCACCCTTTCGAATCTCGAAGAAGTGAGAACATTAAAAACTATGACAATTATTGCTTTAACATTGCCACTTGTTTCTTCAAATTATAGCGAATGGGTTTAATAGTAGTAAAGACGCGGCTCACAAAATTGCCATGAAACATTTTAAAAAGGAAAAAAAAAATATTTTCCTCTTGTCTTTCACGTATTGCCTGTAAAACAAATAGAAGATCAAACTTATACATGTTTATGATACGATGGAAATGGTAGATATAAAATTTAATTTTCAAATAAATTGTGACTGGAGGTAAAACTTGATACTTTTATTATGTTCCTGAAGCGTAAATTATTGGGCTGGAGAAAGTTTACCATGGTCGCAGAAACTTCGGTTTGAGAAATCTCAAGTAAAGGTCTTATTTGCGATCTTTTTTGATAGGAAAGGGAAAATTCACATTGATTTTTTCCTGTGGGAGAGGTGGTGAACTCTATATTTTATAAAGATGTAAAAGGTAGACTTACTAAAGCTTGAAAAAGCTAAAGAAGATCTATGTCTGTTGCACAACAGTACGCAATCACACAATTAATTCTCGTCCAGGAGTATCGGGCAAAGGATCACAATTCTCAACTACTCCTCTTAGTCGCTAGATTTGACATGTAACAGACTAACTTGTCTTCCTCGAGGTGAACCTTAAATAGGTCATTATTTTAATATAATTGAAGAGCTTCTCATAATTGTAGCCAGGAATCTAAATAATAATCCAAAAGGTAAACTTTGCGAAAAGTATCTTGCAAAGTGTATGAGTTTGTCAAAACTTACAAGAATTCTATAATGAAGGCCAAGGAGTAGAAAATTTTATTTCAGCTTTCGATTTTATTGGAAATTAGCCCTGCAGCTTTATAGCTTTATAGATGCATCACGCGCAGAGCAGAAGATGCGCAGAGCAGCAGCGCAGCTTTATAGATGCATCACGCGCAGAGCAGAGTTTTTGCGCTGTTCTTCACGTCTGTAGTAAGATCATTTAGCTTGTCTCTCTCCAACTAGTGATAAGATGGCAACGACACTTTATCAGCCTATTATATAAACCTTTGACAAAGCTGAATCTAATTCCGCGAAGGCTAAACAGTTTTCATTTTTAAATTACTCCCCTCATGTTGAGGTGGATTAATTATTCTTGGTTGAACAACAGAACTTAGAGAGAGGTGTAATTTCGCTTGTAGCCTTCTCTCTAACTAGGAAAGCAGTAAGATTTTTGAGTTTTTGAGACAGTTGCATAGGTATCAGAAGTGGGCGCAGGCTGAACAGTTGAATAGGTAGCTAAAATCTACGAATTTAGAAAAAAAAAAAAAAAACATTACATTTTAGGTCATAAAATATCTGTTAAGTGAAAAAAATAGTTCATGAAAAGCGGAGCATTAGTTTGGTATAAAAAAGGGTGAGAATGATATATTTATTTCCTAATATTTATTTATATACTTATGATCTAATGATATAGTCATTTGGTACTTATACTCCGGGTAAATGCAAGGCTTATTGACACATTCAAGGAGCGTGTATTAGGAGACGAGCTGCCCAAATCAATCCTGAAAATTCCTCTTTTCTGAAGCAACCTTAAATCGGTACAAGCTTTTGAATTCAAGAAACTGTAACACGGGAATAATCGCCGCCCACCAGCGTCCTCGCAATAAATACACTGAACATTGGTAGTTCGGTCCGGGGTTCGAATTCCGGCGAACGGACTGCCCACACGGGCGTTTTCGTGGTTTTCTACATGTGTAACGCGTATACGAGCCAGTTTCCCTTAGAGAGTCCTCCACGAAAGCATTCTTTCCATTAAGCGGATAGCTCTCGAGAATTTCCGTAATTGAATAAACCAAACCAAACGAAGGGAATAATCGCACTATGCGAATAAACACTGGTTGATATCAGTCCGAATTTACTGTGGCTTCCAGATACGTGAATTGTTTTTTGCTTCATTCATTCATGCTAGTTATTAGGTGGACAAATCTGCCTGCAACAAGAGATTGTCAATGTATTCTGCAAGAAATTATGGGTAGCTTAAGAAAAATAACTTTGTAAGTGACAATATGAATTAACTGCCACTTCTGCATTCACTGAAACAAGCTCAACTGAGTTGGATCACAGCTTCTCTCCTCCCACAGCCAGACAGATAGAGCAGTGTGACGGCATAATGGACAGTAGGCAGTTGAACAGTCCTTGTAGCAGTCGATCCGACTCCTGCAGTCACGTAGTTTTCAACTCGGGAGGATGCTCAGAAAATAATGGCGAAATAAAATTGCCCTCCCAAGACCTTAACCCTATACAGACATGCTGGCCAATTCATGTGGCGAATATCCTCACTTTACAGGTAATCGTTGATTAGCTTAGCCCTATGTGGACTAGCGTAGTAGTCCATTAATAAGTATCCAGGACCAACCTTACCCTTAAAAAGTCGAACAAGAACTGAAACTATACGATCTCTTTTTCTATACCTCATAGCAGTCAAAGAGGCTTTCTCATGCAGGGGTACGAGGTCGTCCATCCCTGCATATGTTTATATTCATTATGATGATGCATATACATTTGACAGTCATTACGGATTCATTACGGTGGTAAAGATCATTACAGTGGAGGACATAATGCCTGCCAAACCTCCACCATCCTTTTTCCTGATGAGGGAAGGATGGTATCCTGTTCCAGGTTCTCTCCAGACGAGAATCAGTGTTCGGGCTGAATCGCGATTCATCTGTTAAAAGCATTCTGCTCCATTGATTCGCTTGTCTAAGGCCATATTTTCGGCATAATAAGTTCCCTCCATACGTTCATAGATACTTATTTTACCTGCTATATAAAATGTTGGTAAATATCAAAACTTGAATAAAAACAGTTTTTATGTTTATAAACTAAACTAAAATAAATAATTTTAAATGAATACTTAACAGCTAAATAAAAGGCTGACTTCCTCCCCCCTAAAACTATGAAATTACTTAAGAAGTAATCCTCACTTCTTTGTTGAGAACCCTAGAATCTGTAATCCGTAATGATACCTAAACAAACATTTTTCGCCACTTCACAAAGTCGCCAAGAAGTTAGCAACATTTCATGAGAGTGCGGATAATCTGAAAATACCGACTATTTTGTGTTCAGATATGAAAGTAATAGAATCTTCTTTGTTAAAGTAACTACCGTGCTTAGTAACAAGAATTGGTAAATTTGATCGACACACAAAACTTTGTCGCCAAAGGCTTATATGGCTGCCGCCGCTTTAACGAGGAAGTATCCAATTATTATATGAAATATTAATTAAATTTTAAAATATTAAATTCTTATGAAATGAGGTAAAAAATAGCCAAAACAAGAAATTAAAAAAAAAAAAAAAAAGTTACGCTTACCTCTCTTACCATTCTGCGTTCCAGTTCCAGCCTCCAGAACATTTTCCGTTCTTTCGGTATATTTTCCTTTACAAATTCTTGATGAGGTGTTTCTTCAGAAGGAGGCAATTCATTTTCTAGAGCCTTCAGATGCTCTCTCAATTCTTGGGCTTTTTTCTTTAAAACTAAAACAGCTTCTAGCCGACCTTTCCATCCTGATTCTGTACCGTATTTCATCAGAGCTTGGAAGTCCAGCGGATGGCCGCCTAATTCTTGATATACCATCTGTATAAAATAATGAACAGATTTGTTTCATCAACTGTTAAAATCAGTCAAAAATTATGCAGTTTTGAACCGTTTTAATGTACGGCTTTGAAAGATATTTTGAAAGACAACTGCAGTACCATTTTTCTTTCTTGTACTTTAAAATTTTCTGGCGTCAGTTTGCAGGCATATGATGTTGTCGAACATCAGGAGTACGATAAGCCAGAGATATCTCCCGAAATGTATCCAGTTGTACATGTTACTTATTTCAAAACTCTGATGACAGATTTGAAACGAGTATCTTTTTATATCATGCATTAATATTCAATTTTTGGGGAATTGCGCTGTAACAATATGAAAGCAATCTTAACGGGATTTCTGCATTAAATTAAAGAAATTTTGACTATGAATTTTAAAATATGACAGAACTTTGATCTGTCATTTGATATTTCTTCCCCGAAAGCACTTTTATATAAATATTATTATTTATTCTTGTATGCATCTTTCCTTGGCCATTTTCAATTCATTTTTACCGAATTAATGTCTTGTGCAAGACGTTCTTTGCTCAGGATTTTTGCATAGATCTTGAAAAACATTTTAAAAGCGAAATAGGTATAAAGTTTTGCATTATCTTCTCTTCGTACTATAAATCTAGCAAAACAGTAATGCAACAAATCTTGGTGCGTAGTCTGACATTATTTACAAGTTTTGCAAAATGTTAAACGTTTTTCGGTGCGCAAAGCGGTAATGAGGCGTACCTTGAAAACATTTTAAGTCTCTAGAAATCGTATATTCAATGTAATGCAAAAATGAGTTAAAGGAAAAGAGCAAAGAATCCCAGATTTACGATTTTCGAAGCTAAATCATCTGCTGTAATTAATCTTCTAAAAAAGAAGAAATGGCGAGTAAATCAAGATTAGAAAAAGAATAGAAAGCATATTAAATATGTCAAAAACCTTAAGTACCTAGGCTTACTTGGGATCCAAGACCTAATTAGATTCCGTACACAAACTAAGTTAAATCCAGAACGGAGCACAATCTCCAAAGAACAAGACAAATGCAAAAGCTGAGAAAAGGTGCAACTGTACAGGCATCACAATTTAGGGGCTGCAAAATTTTGAGAATTCAGAGGAACAAGTCCGTTATCTATTAAGCAGCGTAGTCTGCAAGGACAGAAAATAAGATATCTATGAAGCATTTAGCGTCTATTTTCAGTTTCTATCACACAGGCTGTTCGTACTACATGAATAATGAAGCAAGACCAGACTCTACAGAGCTAAATGTGACATTATAAACTAGCCTCCACTTGCGGATGCAGAGGGATTTAACGACAAATACCATTTCCGACGAATACGAATAGCCAGGCTTTCTGGTGCATATTCATCCAGTGCTTAAAGGTGTCAATTCACCTCCAAAAAACAATGCACCACGTGCATCAGTTTACAAGTAATTTACACTGATATTCCAAGTGGTAAATGTGGAGTAGGGATTGTCATGTAATACAGTGGTATCAAGCATCAATAAGGATAAGGATAAGGATAAGGAACGGGGGACGTGGACACTATGCCTTTACCATACGGTTAATTAGTATAGCACCACGTCCACCATGATCTAGAGAACCCTTAAGACAACACTAATTCAAATACGTGAGTACATTATTGAAAATGAATGATTGATTACGAACAATTGTGGTATACCTTGGCAGTAAAATTGTTGCATTTGTGAAAATAACAAGTTGCGATAAAGACAAAGATGTAGTGATAGTCTGTAAAGTGCTAACGATTAGTATTCCAGTTGTTGCCATTAAAAGAGGATACTTCCTGCTGTAATGGTCACTCCAGGGTCATTTATTCTGCTGCGCAGAGGTCTGTGCCGAGACTGGGTAGCTTCTCCATAATTTTGATGAGCTGCCGGCAGAGATGCTTCTGTTTGACCATGAGCTTACAGAATGCCTGTGTGTTTGTAGTGGGAATACGTATGTGCATCCCGTTGGTCAGAGAGCAGGTAGTGACGTAATGCTCCGGAGTACCCAGGTGACCGCAGCTGCACTGGTCTGTGTCAGTCGTGCCGTGCCTGGCAAAGTACTCCGGGAAGGGTCCATGGCCTATAACATAACGGACCAGGTGCGGGTTAGAGTAGAGCCTGGCTGGATTAACATACAAAAGATGATAATGAGTACGTCTGCCGGTCTCAGCAATGTCCCACTCAACCTGCCACTTTGAGAGCGCTTGTAGATGGAGCATTCTTTTTAAGGTAGAGTGTGGCCACGGTAATGCTAGCTCCTCGGCTTCCTTATTTAGGGCAGATGTCTTTCGCAAGGAGGTCTGCTGCCTCATTTCCCATATTGCCTGCATGGGCTTTCTTCCATGTCAGGCGGGCTTCCAGATGTTTAAACTGTCGTAAGAGGCTTTGAATTTCCTGGACTATTGAGGAAGAGTGTGCGGGATTTTGCAAGGCTCGCAGAGGTGACATACTATCGGATACTATAACAGCTTTTTTGATGTTGTTGCTGGCAATATATTGTACTGCTTTCTGGATAGCAACTGCCTCCACTTGAAAGACGCTGTTGTTCCCGTGAAGATGGCCCTTTCATTGCGTGACTTGCTCCTGGCCTTGAAACGTAACAAACGCGCATCCCACATTGTGGTCCATTTTGGAACCATCAGTGAAGATGAGAGTGTTGAACATTTGTATATCTTCTGGCTGTCCGTCCATCTTTGAGCCGTCCGGTGTGTAGCATAGGTATTGTGCCTATGGGTCTCGAGAGACTGTTCTTTGATGCTGGACGTTTATTCCCTATGCATTGTTCCGGCCGGATGCTTGTCTAGGATCACCGCAGGTACTTCATAGTCACTCGGCCAGTACGTCGTATCCTCAAAAGATGCTGGACACATTGAGCTGTTTGATTTGCTGTAGAACTGCTTCCCGTTCCGTGCTGATGTGTAAGGGAACTAGTCCTGCTAGAACGTTGTTCCGCTGATGTATAAGAGAACCAGTTTTGGCCATTTGTGCGATTGTGTGGTATGCCCTCGTTATATTAAGAGCGAACTGTCGTTGAATGCTGAGCAGGTGCCGGACCTTTCGGCCTTGCATCGGCTGCGCCCACACGGTCGCACCATATGTTACCATTTTTTCTGTTACAGTCTGATACAGGATCTTATGTATATGGGGGTTAAGGCCCCATCTGTAACCTTGAATATGACGCAAGTACTTATCGATAGCCTGTGTGCGTTTCTTTAAATCCATTATATGAGGTATCCAGCTGAGTTTGTTATCGAAGATGAGTCCCAAATATTTAAGCTGAAGCACAATCTTTATCCGCTGGTTATTTAGCGTGATGCGCGGTTAACGCGAGAGTGAACCACCTTTTTGGGGTACAGAACTATCTGCGATTTGCTCTCTGCTATGAGTAATTTATAAGTGCTGCATCTGGTGTTGAAGATGGAGCAGGTTTCGATGCAGTTAGCTTCGAGCTCCCTTCTGGTACGTCCTTTTACAATAAAGGCCGCGTCATCTGCGTAGGCTATTACTTTAGAATGTGATGGCCACTGCTCTGCTATTATGCGATTAAAAGTAATGTTCCACAAGTGAGGGCCCGCGCACGAGCCCTGTGGACATCCACGGGTTTGCCTCCTTTGTAGAATACCACCATTGTGCACTATGATCGTTCTCCTGTCTGATAAGTCGTGTCGGATAGTGCGGTAGAGGTTGGAGGGGCATCTGGCATCCGCTAATGCGTTTAGGACGGCGGGCCACCACAACGTGTCGAAGGCACTTTTCAGGTCTAGACTGATGAATGCCGTGTGGTGGCCGCTTCCCTTGTTTGCAAGTATTATATTCTTCACCTCTGCTAGCGCATAGACTGCTGATTTTCCTGTTCTGAACCCAAACTGGTTGGGGCTTAGGTAGTCCGTATAATGGAGGTGATGCCGCAACCTGTTCATTAAGAGCTTTTCATACACCTTTCCGAACGCGGACAACAGGCAAATTGGCCTGTACGAGTCCGGGTTGGTGGGGTCTCTATTCTTCTTTAAAAAGAAAACCGCTTGGACTACTTTAAAGCATCTTGGAAATGTGCCTGTGTCGTACAGGCTATTGAAGAGGGTCCTGAAGAATTCAATATTGGTGCGATTCACCACCTTAATGATCTTATTGTTGACACCGTCCGGACCCGGTGCTTTTTGGCGACGTAGCTGACGCAGCACTTGCTGAATCTCATGAGAGGTGAATTGCTGATCGTTTGGGTGGTGGTTATCCAGAGCTGTGTTCCGGAATGAGTGATGTTCTGTTGTGTCCTCATCCTCATTATCTTGCGAGAAGACCGCATCCAGGATGTCATTTAAAGTGTGCACTGTGGGATTGTTGTAATTTCTTGTTGCTGGTAAAAGATGGAAGTTGGTTGGCATGAACCTTTTTCCGGTGGCCAGCTTGTGGTGGATACCGTATGGGGTTGTACTGTCTGTACGCTCCCCATGCGTTTAGTTTTGCCTGAAGAATCATCCTTTTATAAAGTGCCCTTTCTCTTTGAAATGTTGTGAGAATAGACGTCTAGGTGCCGTTGCTCTTCTGCCGTTCTCGTTTGAGTCGACGTCGGAGGGCCCGGCATTTGTTCTGTTGAACTCTCAGTTCACTGGTCCACCAGCTCAGTGTTTGTAGTCTTTTAGTTGATCTCGCTGGAAGAGTTTCCTCGCATGCTTCCTGTATTGCGCTAACGACGTCTTCAGTGAGTTTTTCTAGCTCCGTCTGTGTGGACTCCTTAACTACCCTGATACGCATTCTATCCAGGTGGGTCTTACATCGCCTGGGGAATTGCTTTACCTTGTTTCCGGGTAAGTTGTAGCGTCGGATGATAGAAGTAATCGTCTCACATGCTATGGGGAATTTTATATAGTTGTGGTCGGACACGCTTATCTTTTCTATTACCTCCCATTCCTGTACCAGAAGAGCAACACGAGTGGTTGAAATAGTCAAATCCGGCCACCCTTTGGCGTAGATCCTGTCAAAAGTACGGGGTGCATCAG